CGAAGTCGGTGAAAATGAGAGTCTGCACACTAGGATGATGTAGAGAGCTCTAGTTTATTATCCTAAAAGCCTGCTTTTTATACATTTAAACTTGTTAAACTTGACTTATAGCCAACATTTTGTGATTACAAAGCTCACATAAGATTTTAACTAAAAAAAACAAAAAGAAAGTATTTTCTATTAACAAATAATAGCATCAGCTATTAAACATTCTTTAAACAGAAAGCACAGTGACCTTATGTTGGTCATCTGCTAGACAATGGTTAATGGTTTACATTTCACTTCCTTTCCTCTCCTACTTTGCGTTACTGTATCTTAGCCACCTTTGTTTTTGCCTTTGTACTCATGTTTGTACTGTACCACATAAGGTCCAAGCCTAACGAATCTTAACATCTATTTTCCTACACTCTGGACCATTCCTATGTTTATCAATAGCTTTTGCAACTTGTTTCATAAGATTTTAATTTGTTTTTGTTTGGCAATGTGCACTAAGGCGTACAACTTCTTTTAACTTGTTTTTACCAAGTTAACTTGTAATATTCAATTCTTTTTTCTTGGAATACAAAACGTCTGTATAAGGAAGAGGTACTGGTGTTGGAGTTGGCAGGACATATGGTCCTTTATAAGTACTTTCTTCCCACCACCTGTTATTTATCTGGTAATATTTCCTATTTCTTGAAGAGACCTTTACTTTTAGAGAAGTTTGTCTTTTGAGTCTTTTCTTAAACCTCTCTGTTTTATTCTCATTAACTATGACTTTCTGCTGTTGAAACTAGTCTAAACTTTCTCCTAATATACAATTACATTGCTGAATATGAGTTGCAAGTATCACAAAAGAGGAATTAGATACATACTCAAAGAGCATATTCAAAATTATACTTTTAAGAACAATCTCAATTTCTATTATATTTTCATCTTGTTTGTTATCATTTCCAGGAACATCAAGTGGTTCCTGATTAAGGACTTTAGTTAAATCTTTATCCCAGTTCTGGTGAAGTTCCCCTGGTTTTTCCCTAGAAACTCCCATTCCTATCAGAAACAGCACATAGCTTAAAAATAGAAAAGCAATTCCTAGAAGCAACTTAATTTCCAGAGGTTTCCCGGAATTACGAAGACCCATCTGTAACAAATATCCAGGCATCAGCCCACTCACAAGCACAGGGCTTGCAAGATTCCCTCTTATGCTATCCTTGAGGTCAGAGACCCCGTACAGGCACTGACGTCCCATTTTGTCACACAGGCGTCGTGGCCGGACAGCGAGGCGGGTGTGGCAGTCCCAGAAGCCTTATCTATGGCTGTCTTCTTCCTGAACTTTAAATTGATGGGTTTGAGTGCCTAATAGACATCTCTACTTAGATAGTAAGCATCTTCACCTTGACATAGGGAGCTTTGTGGCATACTCCTTAAGGAGCTGTGCCCCAACTCGAAGGTGGCACCTCTCTGGTAGTTTGAATTCACCAGTAGCTCCTTGGGAGAAAGATGATACCTTGTGATTTCCAGCCCCAAAAATCTAATGGATGGTCTTCTGTGAGTCAGCTCAACTTGATGCCTATGAATTTTTGTTTTCTCACATTAACATGGCCAGAAACAACCCTTATCTCCTCACTATGCTATTCCTTTCCTAATTAATTCATCTTAAAGGACACTAAAATCCACCTCATTACTCATACCAAAGATAAAGATATTGTGGAGTCCTTGGTTTCTTTTACACTGAATTTATTCCATCTTACCCTAGGTGGGCAAGGCCTGTTGTCTTTCCCCAAGCCATTATCTACAGTTTATACTTTCACTAGCACCCCAGCACAAGCCTCCTTCATCTTTTAAGCAGATTCTCAACAAGTAGCCAGAATGATCTTTTTCAAATATAAAATCAGCTCATTGCTGTCGAGTTGGAACCAGCTCAGAGCTGACCTTCCAGTAGGTTTTTATATGCTGTCATTCACACGGGAGAATATGGTGTTTCTCATAAGGAGCAGTTACCAGATTCGAAGCTCAAGTCCCTGCCCAGTAGACCATCAGATCTCCTAAACATAAACCAGGCCATCTTAATTTCTTGCTTAAAACTCTGCAGTGGCTTCCCACCCTTCCACATCATTCACTGACTTTCTCACTGTGCAACTCTGGCCGTGGTTCTCTGTCTCTTAGTCATCTGCTTGTTCTTGCCTTGGATGCATCGCCTGAAATACTCTCCCATTTCCCTGGCACTAAATCAAAAGGTGTCCTCTAATCACACTTTGTACATTAGCCATTAGATTGTTTCCAGTTTTCAAAGTACTTATGAATAGATGAAAAGATTGTTTCATTGTTTATAATCTGCCTTTTCTCCCAGCCTGACCCACATCCACTGTAAAATATGATCTCCCTAAAAGCTGTGCCACCGTAATGTCCTTCTTCAAGTACTAGCCCCTCCTGGTAACACTGCTCAAAGTATATGAGATGAATCACGCTATCTTGCTTCTAGGAGCGCTCTGGATGGACATGAAGCTGCAGGTGTCCTTAAGCACAGCAGAGACTGTGAGGACAGCACTGGACTGGGCAGGAATTTGTTCTGAGACTGAGTCAGGGTCACTTAGATGACACCTAACAACAACATCAGGCAGTGATCTTATCATGTGTTCTGTTGTATCCTTGGTCACACTATAGACTCAATACTCCAAATTAAGTAACTGATACTTAAATAGACTGTATCAAATGACGTCTGTATATCACTATGTTACAGGTAGTTGGGGGTTTTTGTTTTGTTTACTTTTTTAAGTTTTATTTTAGTGAGTGTGTGTGTGTGTGTGTACACTGTCAAACCGGATCTGACTGGTATAGGATATTGCGTCTCCTTCTCCAGCAGAGCATCTGGTGGATTCGAACTGCATAACCCTGGGTTTGCAGGGCAGCTTCTTGCCACTAGGCCACCAGAGCTCCCCACAGGTAGTTGTTTTGTGCCATCAAGTTGCATACAACTTATCATGACCGCTGAACAACAGATCTGAACCCTGTCCTGTCCTGTGTCATCCTCCGCTCTGACACAGGTGAGCCCATTGCTGCAATCACTGTGTGTGTCAGCCCATCAAGTTGAATGTCTTTCTCTTCTTCATTGACCCTCCACCTCTCCAAGCACGATGCCCCTTTCTAAGGAACAGCCCCTCTTTACAACATGTCCAAAGTATGTGAGAACAGAGCTTCACCACCCTTGCCTCTAAGGAACTCTCTGGCTGCATTTTCTCCAAGACATATCTGTTTGTTCTTTTGGCCGTCCATGGCATAGCCGGTACTCTTCTCCAACACCATAACACAAAGACATCAGTTCTGTCATCCTTATTCATTGTTCAGACATGTCTTACTCATTAAAAGACTGGCTCGAATCAAGTGTCTTTAAACTGACATCGTTGCTCATCAGGACTTTGGCGAGCTCCCTGACACAGCAGACTTCCCCAGTGTTCTGCATCTCCTGATCTCCTGATTGCTAGTGCCAAGATGTTGATTATGGATACAAGTAAGATTAAATCATTGACAACTTCAGTTGTTTCTCCATTTATCACAATACTAGAGAGCTCTGGTGGCCTAGTAGTAAGAGGCTATGCTACAATCCCAAAGGCTTGTGGTTAATATCCACCAGCTGCTCTGTGGGAGAAGGATGAGCATTCTCTTCCTGTGCAAATTTCAGCCTCTGAAAACCTGCTGGAGAGTCAGCTATGAGTAGGTCCAAACTCTGTGGCAAACAACATCATCATCGTTGTGTTGCCTATTGACCCAGTGGTGAAGGTGTTTTGGGTTTTTTTATGTTGAAATGAATGTAATTAATAATGCAAGTTGTTGGTGTGTACCAGGCAGTCAGAACTGACCGGTAGCTGACTCCCTAGTAGGTTTTCAGAGGTAGTGAATCACATGGGAGGAGAGTGCCCACCTTCTACCTGTGGAGCAGTAAATTGAAACCATATGCCTCTTCAATGGCAGCACCATTTCTTACCCTAGGCCACCAGAGGTCCCTATATTACAGATAGTCCAGACTTAGGATGGGGTCCTACTCTGTTGTAGGTTGGTTCTGATGTATGTACAAGATCATTAACTTTTCTTTCTTATTATTATCTTTTTTTTAATCAATATCTTTATAAATCTCATCTTTATTTACCTTGGGGGTAGGAAAACATTACCTACAAACTTTAGACACATTTTAATACATACAGTACTTGAATAAAGTATACATGTTTATTAAAAAATTGCATGACTCAGCATTGAAAAACAAGGAACTCATGCAATATTATTCAGAATGGGTGACCCTGGAGGACATTATGCTGAGTGAAATATCTCAGTCACAAAAAGACAAATACTGCCTAGCGCCACTGTTGTAGAATGGGACTGACATCAGGGTTGGGGTAAGACTGAGAAAAACTGGATAAATTATGTATACTGCATTGAGACAAATGAGGGAGAGAACAGTTTAAAGTGATATATGATAGGATATTATGGTTATCACAGGAATCCAAAATGAAGGTTGCATAGTGGAGTGTACTCGGGGTCGGGGGGCAGGGGGATTGTATACCAATGAAGGAGTTTATCTTTTGCTTTTTGAAGAAAGGAGTGAACTGGGGTGCGAGGGTAGAGAGAAAAGTGCAACAATGAATGAATGGAAATCCAAGATCTCTATAAATGTTTATTAAAATAAATAAAATAATTTTTTTTTAAATTGCATGACTTAAACGTTTTGTTGGAGGCAGTATTAACCCCACTTGTATAAGGTTCTTTTTCATCCGGATTATCTGTGGGAATGGGGACATTTCTGGTCTGAAAGTTAGTTGTGTGTGGTCATTTCATGAACACTAATATTACATATACCAACAGTAAGATGTATAATAATATTTCTTAAAGACTTTCTTTGGTACAGTTCATCATACTGTACCTTAAAAGGCCGAAACTGCTTGTGAAATGATTCTTAATGCTAACATTGGTATTAATAGGAGTGCTTGTAGGATAACAAGTTTTCTCTTTCCCTCTTGTTTATATTCTAGATATGAAGCCCCACAGATTGCTTTACGTTGCGGGATGATGCTGAGAGAATGTATTCGACATGAACCACTTGCCAAAATCATCCTCTTCTCTAATCAGTTCAGAGATTTCTTTAAGTATGTGGAGTTGTCAACATTTGATATTGCCTCAGATGCCTTTGCTACATTTAAGGTAAATAATTTTGCTTTATTTTATCTGCATCAGCTAGGTCTCTCAGGTTCAGCATTTAGTTAAGTCCAGCTAGCCTCTAGAGACAATTTGATTTTAATAAGGAAAAATGTATATTCCACAAAACCTAAATGTAGGCAGCCATGTATGCTTTGGGTAATATCTACACTTTTTTCAGGATATGAATATATATTGTCACTTCATTATGGTCATGTATAGGTCCAGTCTGACCTCTCTTCTCCTATGGTGAGCCCACTGGAGGGGTATTTTGATGGATGGTGGAACAAAGAAATAAGTGGGTCAGGGCACTTATGTCAAGGGCAGGGACAACACCGAAACTAGTAGTTAATTCCACAATAAGGGATATATTTTCACTTTTCCTGTTAAATGCTTATCTGTTGGATACGTCTCTAACTCTGAACATTCAGATTGACACACACTAGGAGGAAGGATTGCCCATCCACTTCCAAAATAGCAGGCTTCTGAAAACCCTATGTACATCAGAACACACGTGGAATGACAGGAAGGTCAACTAAGTATGGGAATACAGAGGAAGAGGAACAGTTGTAAGCAGACACTAGTGATTGGAACATGGAATGTGAAAACCATGAATGTAGGTAAATTAGATATTAGGAGATTAAGGGGGAAATGGAACGCATAAATATTGACATACTATGCATTGGTGAGATAAGATAAGATGGACCTGCATGGGGCATTTTGAATCGGATGATCATATGATATACTATTCCGGCAATAAAAAGGTGAGGAAAAGTGGGGTTGTTTTCATAGTTAGAAAAGCCATTTTTAGATCCATCTTGAAGTAAATATTGTGAGTGACAGGATAATATCCATACACATACAAGGAAGTCCCATGAATACCACTATCATTCAGATATATGCACCAACAACCAGAGCCAAAGAAGAGGAAATAGAAGATTTCTACCAACTTTTACAGTTGGAGATCGATCGAACGTGCAGTCAAGATGCATTGATAATAATGGGTGGCTGGAATGCAAACGGTGGGAACAGAGAAGAAGAATCAGTAGTCGGAAAACATGGACTCAGACAGAAATGGAGCTGGAGATAGAATGATTGAATTTTGCACAATCAATGACTTATTCATCTCAAACACATTTTTTAAGAGACATAAACGCAGGTTATACACATGGATATCACCTGATGGTATCATAGGAATCAGATCGATTACGTCTGCGGAAGGAACCGCTGGAGAGGCTCAATATCAGCTGTGAAAACTAAGCCTGGAGCCGATTGTGGAACAGACGACCAATTTCTCATATGCAAGTTCAAGCTGAAGCTGAGGAAAATTAAACTGAATCCACAGGAACCAAAATATAACTTTGAGTCTATCCCACCTGAATTTCAGAACCATCTCAAGAACAGATTTGAGGCCTTGAACACGAATGAGCGAAGACCAGATGAGTTGTGGGAGGATATAAAGGGTATCATCCAAGAAGAGTGCAAACGTTCACTACAAAGACAGAAGAGGAAGAAAAGACCAAAATGGATGTCAGAAGAAACTCTGAAGATTGCACTGGAGCGGAGAGAAGCCAAAGCACAAGGAAGAACTCAAGATACTAAAGAGCTGAACAGAAGACTTCAAAAGGCAGTGCGGGATGACAAAGGAAAATACTACAATGAAATGTACAAGGAGCTGGAGTCAGAAAACCAAAAGGGTTGAACTCGCTCAGCATTTCTTAAGCTCAAGGAACCGAAGAACAAATTCAAACCTAGAGTTGCTATAATCAAGGATGCTTTAGGCAGAGTATTAAATGAATTCAGGAAGCATCAAAAGAAGGTGGAGAGAATATACTGAGTCATTGTCTCGAAAGGAATTGGCAGACACAGAAGAATTTAATGAAATAACATATGAGCAAGAGCCTTTGGTGATGAAGAAAGAAGTTCAAGCTGCTTTGAAGGATAGCAAAAAATAAGGCCCCAGGAATAGATTGTATATCAATTGACATATTTCAGCTAACCGATGCTGCCCTGGATGTGCTTACCAAGTTGTGTCAAGAAATCTGGAGAACAACCACTTGGCCAACTGACTGGAAGAGATCTGTATTTGTTCCCATTCCAAAGAAAGGTGACCCAACAGAGTGTGGAAACTATAGAACAATATCGTTGATTTTACATGCAAGCAAGATTCTGCTGAAGATTATCCAAAAACGACTGGAACAGCACATTAGCAGTGAACTGCCAGAAGTCCAGGCTGGGTTTAGAAGGGGTCGTGGTACTAGGGATATTGTAGTTAATGTTAGATGGATCTTGGCTGAAAGCAGGGAGTACCAGAGGAATGTCTATCTGTGCTTCATTGATTATGCAAAGGCATTTGACTGTGTGGACCATAATAAACTGTGGCTGACTCTGAGAAGAGTGGGAATCCCAGAACACTTGATCATACTAATGCGAAACATACTTGAACCAAAAAGCAGTCATCAGAACAGAGCAAGGGAATACTGCATGGTTCAAAATTGGGAAGGGTGTACGCCAGGGATATGTCCTCTCTCCATACCTTTTCAACCTCTATGCAGAACAGATCAACCTGGAGGCTGGCCTCTATGAGAATTAATGTGGCATCAGGATTGGTGGAAGATCTGTCAGCAATCTGCATTATGCAGATGACACAACCCTGCCTGCTGAAACTGAGGAGGATCTGAAGTGCTTGCTGCTGAGGGTCAGGGACTGCAGGCTTCAATATGGATTGAAGCTCAATGTCAAGAAGACACTGAACCAATTGGTGGCATCAGGATGGATGGTGAAGAGATTGAGATCGTTCACAGCCTTAGTCTGCTTGGCTCCACAATCAACACTCTTGGCACCAGCAGCCAGGAAATTAAAAGATGTATTGCAATGGGAAAGTCTGCTGTTAGGGACCTCTCTAAAGTACTCAAGAGCAACGGTGTGTCTAAGGTGCATCTGGTACAGGCCATGGTCTTTGCAGTCACTTGTTATGCGTCAGAGAGCTGGACAATGACCAGGGAGGATAGAAGGAGAATTGATGCTTTTGAGCTTTGGTGTTGGAGAAGAGTGCTGAGGGTACCATGGACTGCTAAGAAAACAAACAGATTCATCCTGGAGAGGGTTAAACCGGGCTTCTTCTTGGAGGTAAGTATTCTGAAACTTCGTCTGACATACTTTGGTCATGTTGTAAGGAGGGACCAGTCCTTGGAGAAGGATATCATGCTTGGGAGGGTGGAGGACAGACGCAGGAGGGGAAGGCCCTCTGGGAGGTAGATTGATTCGGTGACTGGGGCAATCGGGATGAGTGTGTTGGAGGCAATGAGATTGGCACAGGACAGAGCAGAGTTTAGAGCTGTTGTACTTAGGGTCACTATGAGTGGCAAGCAACTCGACAGCACATAACAACAACTGTAAACTTTGCTCGGTCTTAATAAACTTTTCTGTCTTTAATTATCAAAAAAATTAACATGTATAATTCAAAAATGCTATCTGACATACAGTATTGATATACTGTACAGTGTTGACATATGTCAGCAATATTGACAAATATCATAATATTAATCCCTATCTTAGCCTTCTTACTTTATGGACATTAGAACAAACTTATATGTCTTGGAGAAAGTGCAGTCAGGTTGCTCCTTGGAGCAAATACGATAAAGCTTTGTCTCACATCCTTTGGGCATGTTGCTAGGAGAGACTATTTCTTATTCCTTGGAGGAGGACATCATGCTTCGAAGGTGGAGGTACTGCAGAAGAGAGGTAGACCTTCCACCAGGACACAGTGACTGCCACAGTGGGGTTGAGGGCGTCAGAGATAGTGAAAATGACACAGGATAGGGCAGGGGTCAGATCTGTGTTCATAGGAACGATATGAGTCATACTTGATGGCACTTAATAACAACAGCAGTATTTTATGGACACATTTTTAAAGTTGCATTTGACTTGGATGGTAAATATTTCTTTATCTTAACTTTTCAGTGATAGAGAAATTGTTCATGAAGTTAGAAACTGCTCGTTTATCTGTAGACTGGGCATTTATGCAGCTTGTTCTGAGCAGGTTCTCCAGCTCCATCCACAGGTTTAGAGGGCCCCGGAAAGTATTAGAAAGTGTTAGCGAGTGTCAGAAAGCAGAAAGACTCTGACTAGCTAAAGATGAGAGTGGAAGAGGAGCTGAGGAGATAAGGGGGAGAAAGCCTGGGGAGGGGTGAAAGAGTGAGTGGTCCAGGGGAGGCCAGACTGCAGGTGGAGACCCACATCCTCACCAGGGGAGGGGCCCCTGCCCTGAATAAAACCTAGTTAAGAGGTAGGTAAGGATTGGCAGTGGCCTAGCACACACTTTGGAAAAGAACCTAGTGTCCCTGGGAGTATCCTGAAATGAGGAACGTTGAATTGACAAGCACATCCTGTCAGGATCCTGTTTGAGGCTGAAGGGACTATTTGGAAACACAGGGTGGGGTGGGTGGCAGGTTCCAGGAGCATCCTTAAGAACCAACAGATGACTGTCACAGCTGCCTCCTGAGGAAGGGTGGGCCCTGTGGTCTGTAGCACTTTTAACAAACAGGACATGCAGGCTGGAAACCATTGTTGAGATGCCTGAGACAATAGAGGAAGGCAGTGTGCCCATCCTTCACCAGAGCTCAGCCATGCCTGGAGTAATCAGAGAATAAGTGGTGGCCGACCAGCCTCAACTTTTCCGCAGCTCCGCCTTGTCCTCTATCAGGCCCTGAGTGATGCGGGGAGGAGCAGGAGACCAGGCCTCGATGCGATGCTGGCGCACACAGAAGAGGGCAGGGGAGTGCAGTGAACAAAGGTCAAATCTGACATAAAATATCAAAAGGGGAAAGGCAGGAAAAAGTAAGAGAAGGTAGAGAGAGGGAGTCTAGAGAAGACACAGATTAAAGAAAGGAAAGTAAACAGCAGAGTGAGGGGGTGCGAAGGCGGAGGAAGGGAAGAAAGTCTGAGAACAGGCTCTGAGGAAGGTTAACTGAGGAGGAGAAGGGCTAGAGGGAGGGGGACCTTGTCTTCTCTGCCTCATAGATAGCTCAGCATCGTACCAAAAGTTAGTGAACCCAAGTGAAGGTTATGTTGTGTGGTAAGTCAGAATCAACCCATAGCTGACCCTCCTGTGTATTTTCAGAGGCAGTACATTGCATGGGAGGAGATACTCCCCATGCCAGATCACTGTGAAGAAGGGCATTCATTACAAACAATGATCCCATTTCTTTAGTTATTGCCCCTAAGCAATTGAGGAAGTGTTCCTGGTAATGGGCCATTTTGTCTCTTCTTCTTATCTTTTTTTCTCTTCACTGCCATGGAAACAAGTTAGGTCTTTATAAAAAGACATACCTAAAACTCCCCAAATCATTACCAATCTAGAACAAAGTTCCAGTGTAACTAGAAACCAAATGTTAAGTGAGAATATTCCTACTGATTTGTCTCTGTTAGTGCTTAATAGAAAGTTGAAGTAATACTTCTTGGCTCTCCTGTGTTCAGCCCAGTTTAACTTTCAGCAATAATTTTGAGTCACAAGATCAAACCATTGTTTTCATTTGTTATACATAATATTTTCCACTTTATTTGAGTCATTTCTTTGAAAAACTAAGCAACCACAAAACAGTTCTAATATTCTACCAATATTGAAGATACTAACTTTCTATGTTTCACAAATGCTTAAGATTAATATAATATGACAGTGGCCATAAATCATTTTTTCAATAGCAGGATTTAAACATTTTATTGTTGTCATCTGGTTAGGGTTTTTTAACCTCATAGATTTACCTTTTTTTTCTTTTCTTTTAAGCTTCAAAATGGCTTTGCCCAGTTTAAACGTTACTTTCTTTAACATTGTAAGTTAATGTTTTGCTAACTGTATCTTTAACACACTGTCTGCTCCCAAGAAGGAGTTCTTAGCACCATGATTTCTCTCTCCACTGTAAGAATCCACATAATAGGAGTGATTACAGTCTGTGCTCATCATCTAATTAGCTGTATGTCCTGGAGCAAATCACTTAACCTTTCAGTTTCATTTTCTCCTGTAAACAGAAAAAATATTATTGCTTTGCAGCATTGCAGCATTTCTGGGAAGATAAAAAACTATCCTATTTATCGCTATTTCTGGGCACAGTACATGGCACCCTCAATCTATGGTAGCTGGTGCTCTTATTATTATTATTACTTTGTCTCTGTCATTGCGAATGTCTGTCAGTCTCTACCCATGCTGTCTCTGAAGCTGTGCAGAATTCACCAAAAATGGTTCCAAGAGTATAAGACACTCCAAGTGCAAAGATAACTCTAAAGAGATTCTTCTGTTAAAGTCATAAACAAGACTAAGACAGACAAGTCATTCCAGAATGAGAGAAACCCACCAATAGTTGAACTGCTGGTATTCCACTGGTCCATGGCCCTGCTTTAATTTCTAGGATTGTGAGCAGGCTTGTTGGGAGCACTCTCGTTGGCTGGGCCACCTTATTGAGAAAACGGCCCTGACTGGAATGTATACACCATTTCAAATTAAAACCTTCCCGGTCCCATCAGGTTACATGGTGGTTAGAGCTGTGGCTCATGGGAATTATTAAGGATATGTTGTTACTGTGGTACCTTCAAGTCAGAACCAATCCATACCTGTCCTTCTAGTGTGTTGTCTGTCTTGGAGAGAGGGAAACCTTGCTTATCGTTGGAGGCTAAGATTTTGAAGCTCTGTCTCATATACTTTGTGCACGTGGCCAGGAGGAACCAATCCTTCAAGAAGGACATCATGCTCAGAAGGGTAGAGGAACAATACAGGAGAGGAAGACCACAGCTGAGATGGATTCAGTACAGTAACTGGGGTAATGGGGATAGGTGTGTCAGAGTCAGTAAGACTGGCTCAGGACAGGGCAGGCTTCAGAGCTCTTGTACATAGGGTAACTATGAGTCACAGGTGACTCGACGACACATAACAACAACAACAAAATTGCTTGTGAGGGGATTGCTCATTTTTCTTCCATGAAGTAGCTGGTGGATTTGAACTATGTGTCTTCATGTTGGCCACCAGAATTCCACCACCAGAAAATAATTGCCTTCTTTATCTCACAAGAGGAGTACGGGGTACAGCAAGCCACCATGTGTGCGCTGCCCAGGAACACACCCCCTTTCAGACCTGGCTTAGCTCAGAAAATCCCTTACTTGCTCTGTGGGGATTTACTATGAAATTAAGGGGTGAGCACCTGGAAACTGTCATGTTTGGAACCACTGAGTCAACTACAACTCATAGCAACCCTGTGAATCATGAACTAGAACGCTGTCGTGTCCTGTGCCACCCTTATGGTCTACTTGAGCCCGTTTTTACAGTCACTGTGTCAGTCCAACTCCTGATAGTCCCCTCCTTTGCTGACCATCCATCTTTCTAAGCATTATGTCCTTTTCTAAGAGCTGGCTCCTAACAGCATGCCCAAAGTATGTGAGACAATCACTATCCTTGCTTCTAACGGGGACCCTGTTTGCACCTGCACCAAGACTGATTTGGTTTTTTTTTTTTTTGGCAGTCCATGGGATGGTGAGTATGCTTCTCCAACATCACAGCTCAAAGGCGTCGATGGTTCTTTCTATCAGTCATCCTTATTCACTGTCCAGCATAGCAAGTAATTGAAGAAACCATGGCCTGGATCAGATGTACCAGCTGACATTGCTGCCCCTTCAGCACTTTGGACAGGTCTCTGACAGCAACTTTCCCCAATGCTGTGCTGTTATTGTTCTGTGCTGTCAAGTCGACTATGACGCACAGCGACCCTATGAACAGTGGTTCTGAACCTTGCCCTGTCCTGAGCCAGTCCCGACACACCTGACTCCATAGTCACTGTGTCAGTCCACCTCACCCAGGCTTCCTCCTCTCCTGCGCTGACCCTCCGCCTTTCCAACCACTTGATAGGCCATATGGCTTCTTAGAATAGATTAGGGACCCCTGTTGACTGCTGTGCAATCATTGTCTCATCAGTCCCCACGTGTAGGAACTCATTAGATTCGAGACTGATCCTCCAGCAGTGATGTTCCTATAGAGAGCCAGTCATCCCACATGAAGACTCCGCAGGGGAAGGGAAAAGCCCCAGAACACAAGCCCATCTTACTGCTGTGCTATGTAATAAGAGATTAAGAACAAATTTGCTTGGTTTTGAACTAGAAAATTATATTTATAGTGTTAATTTTCTAGTTTGATGCAAAGGGAGCTAAGGAGCTTTTGACCTTGCCTTTTTCTCTGTGAGGTGATGTTGTTTGTCTTCTGCCTGCTTTTAACACGTTTTCATTAAATATGTATTAAAGGGTAAGAATTTATTTTGGAAAACTCTAAGATTCTTATTCTGATTTTAATTAAACTCTGTCCAGTACATTCGTAAGGTATTTAGACTCTAAGCATCTAAAGGTCTCTAAGCATCTAAAACGGATTAAATAAGGTTCACTTTCTTTCAACATGGAGTTGAATTAGGGATATAATAGACGTGTGAACACCCTGAAGTGTTCCTTCCTGCTCTAGTTCAGTTTTCTGTGAGTTTCCTGCTGCAGTAAGACAGGACTCCTTGTCCCTAAGAAGAGACAAGGATTGACACAGTAGCATTGCCCAGCAGTGGGCTTGAGCATGGCCGAGATGGTGAGGCTGATGCAGGAAATGGCCAGACTGCGGCAAGTTGTTCAGAGGGCTGCTGTGAGCCATGGTCTCTACAGGACCATCCAGCAACAGCCTGTCTCCAACTTTGAAAGCATAGATTGTGCTGCTCAGTGACCTGCACGTGCCTCCCAGCCTGTCACCTGAGAACTTGACCACATTGGGAGTGCCCAGCAGCAGAAACACATCCACCCCCTGCCTCCTCATTAAATCACAAGGAGTCTTAAAGATTGGAGTCCTTAAAAACCTATTACGGCGAGCTCTGGTGGCCTAGTGGCAAGAAGCTGCAACTGCAATTTCAGAGATACATGGTTCAAATCCACCAGATGCTCTGCTGGAGAAGGAGGAACAGTCTCCTCCTGTACCAGTCAGATCTGATTTGACAGTACACACAAAAAATAATGAGATAAAATAAATTTTAAAAAAAAACACCACAAAAACACCTATTACAAGGGAGCTCTGGTGGCCTAGTGGCAAGAAGCTATGCTGCATTTCTGAAGGCACGCAATTCAAATCTACCCGATGATCTCCTGTATCAGTCAGATCCAATTCAAGTGTACACACACAAAAAATAAAAATGAAGAGATCATTTAAAAAGATAAAATAAAAAGACCTATTACATTTCCTGTAACAGAGAGCTTTGGGCTGTTCAAAATTCCTTTTCAAAAATAATCATTAATTATTTGGAAATCATGTTATCACAATGTAGTATTAAAGCCACAGTGTAAAGTTGTGATTTATAGAAATACACGATAAACTCATCTTGCAGGTACCATTTGCTCCACCAGTTAAGTTCTTTCTGTCACAAATCTAGTAACGATAAGAACTTAAAACAATGAGTCAATTTGTTTTGTTTGAATATGAAACAAACTTGTATTCTACATGTTAAAGCAGTATAATAATGGAAATTATTTTCTGGCATTGGGGAAATATTATTTTGAAACTTAAAAGTTTCAAATTAATGTACTCATAATACCTTAGAGTACAAAGAGAGACTTGTCAGATTCATGAACTATAGTAATTGTGTTTCACGTGATGTTCATTTTTCTAGGATTTATTAACCAGACATAAAGCGTTGGTAGCAGACTTCTTAGAACAAAATTATGACACGGTAAGTGGAAATCATTTTAAAGACCTTCTCGTTTTATGTCCCTCCCTTTCCCTTCCTCCTATGCTGTTCATATCTATCCTATTTATTATCCACGTGGAAACCAACTACAGCCCGGGTTTGCCTATTTACCTAAAGCTAAGTTATCAGGACACTTTGTACCAATTTGAGGATGGGAGATCAAGACTCTCCATTTTTCCTTATTCTCAGGAGCAGAACAGACCCACAGAGTTTCCAGATGGTTGGCAGTTTGAGTCCACTTGTGGCTCTGCGGGAGAGAGTTGAGGCTCTATGTCTAATTCTGCAAAACTTGACCATTTTGGAAACTCTGTGGGTCTGTTCTGCTCTATCCCACAGGGTTCCTTGGGCTTAGAGTCAACTCAATGGCAATAGGTTTTGTTTTTCAATGTGACCCTTAAGGGGCAGTAAATACATCTCAATGGAAGAACCCTTCACCTGTATTAAAATTTATGATAATTAGTTTTATCTGCTCATAAAACTCCCAAAATATTTCTTGTCTCTAGTGAACCAGGGAGTCCCTGAGTGGCACAGTTAAGTACTGGACTGATTGAGAGGTTGTCAGTTTGAACCCACCCACAGGTGTCTAGGAAGACAGGCCTGGCAATATGCTTCTAAAATTATATATGTGTGTGTACAAACTGACATGCATAGACATGTATGTTGATATATTTGTTTATGAAGAGAAATGTGGTTTTGATGATGACTTTATACATTATGGGAGAAAGTACAGTGCACAGTAGACCCATGAGAGCTGGTGGCCAACAAATAATAGTGATAATCACCAAAGAGTCTGAACCATGTCTTCCTGGGTGAAGTCTGTGATACCCTTCCGGGCTGTGGGGAAATGAAAGGGCGGAAGGAGTGAGCTCGGTGTGCTGTGCCTTAGTGCTTCACAGTCAGAAATAGGCAACTACTTGAGAGCTAGCAATGCAGTCTCTGGTTCCTTATTTACCTGATTTTCTCTTTGTATCTAACCATGACTTCTGGTGACTTAGTTCCTCCCTCTTGGCATTTGGGGACATGGGCTACTTCCCACCCTCACGTGCTTCCTGAACTGTCTTACCTTCAGTTGTGTGCAAGCCTGCTCCTCCCACCTGAGCCAGTCTAAGAGTCTGGATCCTGTGGGAAATGCAGGCGGTAAGAGTTGATTAACTCCACTGGGAAAGAGGCAGACCCAAACTCCACTGGCCTCAGCTTCCTGCGGGAATGGGAGTGACCCAGAGGCCAGCTGGGATTAGCAAGGCCACACCCCAGAAGTCATCTCATTCTTGATGTCTGTTCACTCTATGAAGTTGACAGCTTTGATTCTTTCTGTAAAGAATTCCCCAGTGGAACACTGATCTTCTTAATTTGATCTCCAAGTATCTGTGGGGTCAGAGCTACCACCAAAACCCAAGGCAGGCTCATTGCCACAGAGTCAATGCCAGCTCATAGCAGCCCTCTACAACAGAGGGGTACTACCCAGAGGGTTTCCATGACTGTAATCCATGCAGAAAGGGATCCTGGTGGTGTAGGGGTACCATGTCAGCCTGCCATCTAAACAGTTAGTGGTTTGAATATCCAGTTGTTCCTTGGGAGAAAGATGGACAGTTCCCTTTTATTATAATTTATAGTCTGGAAACTCCATGGGGAGTAATTATGAGTTGGCATCAACTCAACAACGGCTGTGGATTTTGGAGTCTTTATAGAAGCAGGTTGTTCTTCCATGAAGCAACTAGTGGATTCAAACCACCAGCCTTTTGGTTAGCAGTTGGTTACTTTAACCATTGTGCCACCAGATCTCCTTTCATAGCTACTAGCAAGATTAATAAATAAATATGTTTTAAATGGCATAAAATTCGTTATTTTGCAACTTTTATTAGATATTTTCTTCAAACTGATTTCTTGGGAGGACCTAAAAATGATTCCATTTTTCTGCTAGATCTAATTTATAGAAATCTGCTTTCACCCCATTATTACACCCAGGTGTAAATGGGCCTGGGGAGAAGGTGCAGTGGGGAGCAGCCAGGCTGTGCCAAGTTTAGTGAATCAGTAATTTACTTCTGAAGCAAGACAGCACACAAGCCAACTACCCAGAAGTCATTGTTGATGTCACACATTTATATTCCTTTTCTTTTCATTAGATTTTTGAAGACTATGAGAAATTGCTTCACTCTGAGAATTATGTGACCAAGAGACAATCTTTAAAGGTACTATCAAGTTTCTTTAAGAATCTCTATAAGTTAATGTATGAAAATCCATGTTAGCAAAGAATTGGTTTATTGTTGGGTAAATAAATACAGAACATGAAAGCATTCTTTTCTTGTTTGTAACTTGCAAAGTATATCTTATGCAGAAGAGCTATGACTATAGAAAAATTTATAAAAGTGTTCTTGAACTGCCTCAAATTGGAATATAAGTAATAAATACATGATAAAAGGGAATTCAGCGTATTTCTCTTAAGGAGGTAAAGCAAGTCTAGGCTTACTTGAATAAAACTGTAATTGTTTCTCAAGGAATATTTTCTGGAAATGAAAGAAATTTCCCTTCAAGTGAAGTTAAGATGTAAATGATGGTAAGGAAAAAAAAAATCAATGGTATTTTCCTAAATTATCTGTTAAATCTTGAAACAAAATAGGTGGAAAGAAACAATCTTATGTCTTTCAGTCATGTTTGTAAACTCGACTAGGTGGGGCATTTTACAAAGAGGAGAGGAAAAAGTAAAGAAGCCAAAACATGACATGTGCCACACGGAGTGAAACATTCCCTCCAGGTTGTAAGCACAGTAATCGACAGATTCCTGTATCTTTCTTTTTAACTGAGAGAGGATATGTGAAATGAGGTTTATGTAGTTGAATTTTGAGGCTTTTGTTTTTCAGGAAGTCCTTATTGCCCAGATTTGTAACATAATTTTATTGTGAAGATTGTTTTAGTACTGTGCTGGATTACTGGTCCTATTCTTAGATCAAATGTCTAGTTGGTCAAGACTACACTGTCATTTCCAGTACCTCCCCCATTTTACATTAAATGTACAGCAGAGATTCTGAAATATGAAAAATGATCACTCTCTCAGAGTTTAAAGAATAATCTTTAGAAGATCAACTCCGTCAGCTGTGTGAGAAGACTGTAATTCAATATACAAAATTTTGTTTTTATGCCAAGATTATACTGAAAGGGAACCTGTACAGGGGTTCAGAGATGGTATTAGCGAGGGGAAAAAGATCACATCAGCTCTAAATGATCTCGTAATAGTTTAGATGGCTGGACTATTGGAAGTGTATGGGCTGGAGAGGGAGGTAACAAGATACTCCATTTAGCTAACTAATAGTTACATATTCGAGACATTACAAATTACATATTCCAGACATTAACAAACATTTACATATTCTAGACATTACAGTTACAGCCAAGAACATTCTGTTGGGGACAATAGACAAATCAGTCAATGAACATGTAATTTTTCAGATGGTGGTAAGTGCTAAAAAAACAGATTTAAGCAAAGCAAATGGGAAGAAAGTGAAGCCCGGGGGAAATGTGTGTATGTGTTTTCTCCAACGTGGCATTTGCTATCTGTGTTCATGTGAAATAGAAAAATTGCGTAGTGCCACCCAGATGAATCTGTGGGCCCTCCTGCCCTCAATGAAAAGTGTCAGTAGCCCCAAAGGAGTTAAGTGAGGGGCCAGAGCTGTGCTTCTAACCTACAGTGTCGTCAGACAGTCTAAAGAATAAGAATGCTTTTGACAAGTAATTATATATTGGCAGTTTTCTCTCCAAGAAAATATAGATCTGAGTAGGAATGTGGCATCAGGATTGGAGGAAGACTCATCAACAACCTATGATATGCAGATGATATAGCCTTGCTCACTGAAACTGTGAAGACCTGAAGCATTTGTTGCGGAAGGTCAAGGTCTGTAGTCCTCAGTAGGTATTGAAGCTCAACATCAAGAAGACAAAGATTCTCACCACTGGGCCACTTAGCAGCACCATGATAGATGGAGAAGAGATTGAGATTGTTAACAATTACAGCTTGCTCAGCTCCACAGTCAACACTCTCAGCACCAGCAGTCAGGAAATCAAAAGACGAATTGCACTGGGAAAATCTACTGTCAGGGACCTCTCCAGAGTACTGAAGAGTAACAATGTCAGTCTAGAGACTAAGGTGTGCCTGATCCAGACCATGGTCTTCGCAGTCACTTGCTATGCATCAGAGAACTGGACAAAGACTAAGGATGGATGACAGAAGAAGAATCAATGCCTTCGAGTTGTGTTGCATGAAAAGAGTCTTAAACATACCATGGACAGCCAGGAAAACAAATAAGTCTGTCTTGAAGGTGAAACCACTTTCTCCTAGGAGGCTAGGATTTTGAAGCTCTGTTTCACATACTTTGGGCATATGACCTGGAGGAACCAGTCGTTGGAGAAGGACATCATCCTGGGAAGGGTGGAGAGACAGCATAGGAAAGGAAGACCCTGATGAGCTGGATTGATACAGTAATTGGGGCAATAGGGGTTGATGTGTTAGAATTAGACTGGCTCAGGACAGGGCAGGCTTCAGAACTATTGTACATATGGTCTTTATGGATCACAGGGGACTCGATGGCACATAACTACAGTGCTAAATATCACTCTTGTATTATTTTTGCCTGTTGGGATAATAGTGCTTCTAGAACAAGGCGTCTGGCTCTGAAGACACAGAGCTAACATCATTGCTGTGGACACCATTCTGCCTCACAGGACAGGAGAGAATTGTCCTGTCGAGTTTCTGAGTCTGTAAATCTATAGGAGTAAACTGCCTGATCAGTCTCCCACTGAGTGGCTGACAGATTTGAACCACTTAGGTTAGTAGCCTAACATTTAGCCCACTACTACTTAAGCCTCTCTAGAGGCAAAGATGATAAAGCTTCGCCTCACATACTTCGAGCATGTTGCTAGCAGGGGCTCTTCCTTGGAGACAGACATGATGTTCAGAAAGGTAGAGGGACAGTAAAGGAGAGGAAGACCCTGAACCAGGTAAATGGACACAGTGACTGCCACAGTGGGCTCTAGTGTGTCAGGAAGTGTGAGGAATGGCACAGGGTTCAGATCTTTTGTTCATAAGGTTGCTATAGGTCATACTTGACTCCATAGCATTCACCAACAACACTACTTAGCCCCAAGGCTCTTCAGAGAGCTAAAGGAAATAAGGAAAATACATGGACAAAACAAGGATTTGAAAAGAGAGACAGATTCAAACCAAACCAAAATACTCAAAGAGACAGTAACTGGTTGTTATTATTTTTTTTTTTTGGTTGTTATTATTGGAAACGTTGTTCACCTAAGGCAATAAATGAAATGGGTTTTGTGTCACACTTTTGTAGCCTCACCTGACCCAGGGTCCTGACTTATTTGGGACTCCCCGCCCCTTGGCCCGTGTCCTCGCCGCTCCCATTTCTTCTGGCTAATGGACAGTCATTCAGCACTGTTTATTGAGGTCCCCCTTTATGAGGGAAGAAAAGGAAACACATGATGCTGTCAGGTCTCCCTAGAGCTGACCTCCAGGGAGAGATGCGACATCAAAGTCAGGCTGTCCCTATCCTGCGAGTTTGTAAGAGCACCTGGATGACAGGACATATCATGTCACAACTGTGTCCTACGGCACAGAATTCTTTATTTGCCAAAGGTGTCACAAAGATAAGGAAGCTCTGGTTGATACAAACAGGAACCCACTTCACTGCCAACTGCAAGACTGGAGTCCACCCAGCGGTGCCTTGGAAGAAAGGCCTGGTGATCCACTTCCCAGCTCTGCCATTGCAACCCCTCGGAGCTCAGTTCTTCTCTGAGACACACAGGGTCACCTCTGGCCGGTGCCCCTCCCAGCCCCTTCTCTCCTTCATGCCCTCCTCCTCACTTACCCACCACCCTTGTCTCTTCTCAGGGTATCTTCAGTTCTATTGTGTCCTCTTCTGAAGGGATAAAGGGGTGAGATCCTGGTCCCTACTAAGAATTGCAGGCCTATGTTAAATATAAAATAGTAAATAATAACCTCTGTAAGTGTGTGATCTGCAGGGAGCTGCACTGATAATACTAAGGCTTAGCTTCTCCAGCAGTTCAAATCCCCCAGCAGCTGCAAGGGAATAGGAAGGGCCATCTCCTCTCGTCTGACTTACAGCTTTAGAAACCCAGGGAAGAGTGAGTTCTGAGTAGGTTCTGACTGCACAGCAAACTCAGTGGGGGCCCTCTGAGAGTGGGCTCTGACTCCATGGCAGTGAGGGTTTGGGGTTTGTTTTTAATAAGCAAATTCCCCACACTTCCATGTCTGAAAGCTGTTGATCTAGCATGAATAATTGGGCCAAAGGTATGAATTAGTTTATTTCTTTAAAGACACACTTTGGAGTAGAAGCTTGCAGGGAATGTGGTACAATGATTAATACAGATTGGGGGGCTAGCCCAGCTTCCCTCCACTTCCCATGCTTTCCCTGCTAGAGATGCATGAGCAACGTGGTGTGACGCAACATAACTACCCTGGCTGCTGTGTCTGCCTAAATTCTTGGTTACACATAGTTGGGTTACAATCTGGTAAAACAGCACTGGGTGTATAATATTCTTTTACGTGATAAATCCAAGAATGCATGCATTTTTTTAAATGGTTAGTAAGGATGTGGCTTTTCTGGATGCTGTGTTAGGAACAAAAGCATTGCCAAGGTGATCCATGTTACTCAAGCAGAGAAAAGAAAGTGGAATGCCTTTCTAGACGTCCTGAGTCATTAAACATTGTTTGCCCTTTTCTGCAGTAGAAAAGGATGTTCTTGTGGAGAACCTCCACTGCTGGTTTGCTTTTTTGTTCTTCTTTTGAGAATTACACCCGTGGTTGTCAGTATAGTCCGTTCTGGTCATAATCTCATTTAGACTTAGAGATTCTGTAATGTTTTTTGTACATGGGGCTAGGGGTATTGTACATAGGTTTTTAGGGGGGAGGAGACTAGATTAGATTATTCTAACAAAACAGTTTTTTTATTAATATTCATATAATAATTCCTTTACATTATGTTTCATTCATATACAGTGTGGGTTTAGGTTTTGGTTTGGTTTTTTTTTATACTAGTTTATTTACAATGAAATTTGCGAGGAGCTAGAGTCAGAAAATCAAAAGGGCCGGACTCGCTCAGCATTTCTTAAGCTCAAGGAACTGAAGA